GATTAATAAGTGTTGAAAAATGAAGACATAATCATTTAAGAATTTTAAAGAACTTTTGACAGATTTTGATTTTTGCGGCTAAGAATTATTTATTTGAATCAAACGTTTTTGAAGAAATTGTGCTCTGTATATGTATTTTTAATCGCTCTATTTTTTATAAAAAGTATTTAATGCATTACTTGTTGTTTGGCATAAAGCTACTCTTTGAGTTAATTTTGTTAGGCATTTTTTCGATTTTCGCCCATTCTGCTTTGTTATATGGTTTCTATGATGAGATCATTGCTATTTTTGCAAAGCATATTTTCTATGTTGTTGTTTCTTATTATCAGTCCAGTCTAAAAAAGTACTAACAAACATACATACATATGTACTATACATCCATGTCAATGCATGGTTGGACATACATATATGTACATAGTATAAATTGGTTCAAATTGAATTTAGTTACGCAAACAAAGATTGTATATATAATACATATGTATAAATATGTACATACAAGAGGAATATGAAAACTATGCAAACCTAAAAACATGCAAAAATTGTTTGCCGCTTTGAACCAGTGAAAGCTCAAGCGGATCTTCAGTGAAATAATAAAAAAAAATTAAAACTATGAATATTATTGCTTTGTTCTACTTCCTATACTTCTACCATATCAAAAGTCGAATTAATTTGAAATTGTGCGAATTATTCACTAAACGGAAACAAAGAATTGCACTTTGCTCGCTTAAGCACTTAATCAACATATTATATTAAACAAATAATGAGAGAAACATTTTTAAACCATCACCGACAACAATTACACACACATTCAAATTCATAGATATGCTGACATTTTCTTTGTTCTCAATTGAGAGACAGACAACGCGGCGCCAATTAATTAAATTACCCAATTTCCAATGCAAATTACAACGAAATATGACTGAAAATTGTTGTTTTGTTTGAATTTGCGGCGCTTGAGTGCTAAGCAGGGAAAATAATATTGATTTAAATGAGTATTCTTCACGTCAACATATGTATGTATGTGCATATGTGTGTGAATAACTTGTGTTTGCTTTGTCTATAATTCAGAAAAAGTTCCGACGATTGTACAATCGAGCAACCCAGATAAAGGTTGTCTACTTTGATTTACTTACGTACATACAAGCTTACACAAATGCATTGCCTTAATGGCAATTCGCTTCAGTCACGCTTACTGGTTACTATGTAATGCCAAATGCTAATGTAATTGTTGACGTATTTTGCTGCGTTACGTTTCTGAGCAAAATTGTTGTGACAAGTTTCACGTGCCGCGGTTCAGAGCTTAAAGCTTTGTTTTTATTACGGACTTTTAAAAACTATTTTTTTATTTCATCTCCCATGAACTAACATGCTAAAAACTTTTAACACTGCTTGAAATTAAATAAACAATATTTAATAATAAAAACAATAGAATAAATATAAGTATTTTTTTTATCAAAAAAAATAAAATTTAAAAGAATTCAACGAATGAAATAAAATTTAAAAAATTTATGCTTGTAAAATATTCCAAAAAAGTTAAATATTCAAATATTATTTTTTCTCCTATACAAAAAATGTTCCCTTTTCCTTTTCTTTAATCAAAAATAATTTCTTTCGATTTTCTGTATAAAATATTATTGGAATATAAAGGTCAAATTTTATACTGTCAATAAACCGATTTCAAACTTGCTCACCTCAATTCTTCTGCATTCACATCACAAAACGTGTTAATTGTCTAAAACGTGTCTCTAAAGGTGCTTACATATATACACGTAGTTATATTAACAATTAAATTAAATTGAACACGTTTGTATGTGATATCATCTGAGCAAATAAAAGCGGATTTTGTATTTATATTCAGATTTTAATATTGCAGTTGACGTCAATGCTGTGAATTTTAAAATACTTAAAAAACAAAAAATAAAAAATGAAATAAAATAAAAATAAAATAAATCATTATTATTATTTCAAATATAATTTTACTCTGAAAATATTGTAAATTTTTTGTAACGTTGAGTAAAGGTCTGGCATGTTTTTAATTATGGGATACTTAAAGTTTCATTTTTCAGATTTAACAGTTTTTTTTTTATAAAAAAAAATGTTTCCAAATTACTTTACTATATTCCTCACACTTTCCAAGCTTTTGAAACTTAAATTGATTTTTATAGGAGAAGTAATAAAAAAAAATTTAATATAATACTAATAATAATACTCAACGATTACACGGGCGCAATTCGCGAACGAGCGGAATTAGCTGAGTCATAAAAGGCAAGAGAGTTTAAGCGTTGCGATCTTAAGTTGCTCCGCTACAGAACCAAAATTAAGAATTGGATTACAGTTTACAATTTTTAAACGTTACTTGCTAAGAGTAGATAAAACAATGTTTTTAATGGTAAAGAGTGAGTCTGTTAGATCAAATGTGCCGTAATGAGAATTGAAATCATGACATATGCGGCGGAATGGTTCGTTTAACTCAAAATTTGTTCTAGAAAATTTTAAAGATAATAGAAATGAAAAAGATAAGAGAGATGGGCTACAGACTGACCCATTCATGATTGTCCACCCAAACCAATTGGAACCAAAGTATAAGTGTATGTGGCGGCACTCATGCTTTGGCTCTCCAGAGTATGGTGCAGGTGCATGCACACGTGCTTTGGGGCGCTGATCAACGCATTGTTTTGATCTACGTGCTTCTAGCAATAGAAAGCACTGTGGGGTTAGGCCTTCGCAGGCAGGAACTCACGTAAAACCACAACGGACTCTGACCCATTCATGAGTTTTAAGTAAAAATTGCTTTTAACGGACTCTAACTTATCCGAATGGACTTGGTAACTAAGTTTCCAAATCACAGCAGCATACTCACCAGAGATGTAAAAAGAATTTTTCTGGTAAGCGGATCTCTAAATTCTTTAAAAACTGTGGAAGATGCGTGAATATTAAAATTGAGTTTGGGGTCCATAGTTACTCCCAGATCAACAAAACTGCACACTTGCTCCAACCTAAAGTTTTATATTGCGTATGAAGTAGGGTCTACAGCTCTAGGTGAAAAGCACATCGCTCTGCATTTTTTAAGGTTCAATGACATTTCTATCACACCAAGAAGGTAGATTGTTTAAGTCTGTTTGAACTGACATATTTCGCTGTTTGAAGCATATCTTAAATGTATGCGTTAAAAAGTACATATGTATGTATTACTCATATCACCCAAAAGTTGTAAAATTATAACAGAGCTATTCTTTCCAGCAAGAATTTAATATCCGCTAAGCATTTTTTCCAGCAGTGACTCATCTGCTGTCCATTAGGCAATACAGAGCCATATGTTTCAGCAATAACAAGAATTTTTGAATGATAATTTCACGATTACACCATAAAAAATTGCATGTTTCTTCAAAAAACCTGCAATGATGATTTTAACTCAATTTTTTAATTAGATACACACCAGGTGTTGCTTTAGAGCGTATTGAATGCGTCAGAAGGGTCGCCAATGGCTTAAAGAATGTGTGTATGTACGTTTAAACTGTAGTAAGCTTTAACGTCGCTTCATAAGAGTCCAACTACAAAAACAGCGCTTTGTTATTTGCTATCTGTTGTTGTGTTAGCAACGAATGAGTCATCATGCTTATGCCATAAGGCCAAAGAATGCAACTATTTAATATGTGTACAAATAAAACTTCTTTCACACTTTTCACAACCTCGCTTATGCACACTTATCTCCTTTATACACATTAATACCGTTAAAAGCGTGATAGCAACAAATCCAGCTGTTTCAGTTCTGCGCGTGCGCTCTAGCGCTACTCCAGAGTGGAAAGGACATTAACATGTCGTTTAAAAAATTACAAAAATTCACGCAAAATTTGTGCAAGAAAACAAAAGTCATCGCGTGCTCGACTGCGTTGCTATGTGCTGCGGCTGTTCGCGCTAACTGTTAGGCGCTTTAAAAGCGTTCGGAGTAAATTCAATTAATTTTTGGCAAATATTGAACAAAAACGACAATAACAGCAACAATGTAACAGAATTATGCGTGAGAAAGGCAAATTATTATAAAAGCTGGTGTCTAAATATCGGCTTAGTGAGTGTCTATTGTTTGGTTTGCTACGAAATTTTGGGCTGAATGCAGGAAATGCAACTTGCGGTCATTTTAACTTTACTGAATGTGCAAATGACGAAGCCGTAAAGGATATTGATTTTTGACATATTGTTTTCAAAATCTCTGGCCACAGTAGTGCGAAATATTTCTGCAAGATATTTGGGAAATGAAAAATTTTAAACTTTTTCAATTCCATTTTTAAACGAAATAGCCAGTGTTATGTATTCATTTAATTTTAAAAGCAAAGCAGACATACACATATATTTACATGCACATATACATCATTCTGAACTTATTTAAAATTTTTTGAATAAGTGCGATGTTGGTCTGTGGCATAAAAGCTCTCGCACGTGCTGCTCTTCGGTCGTCTGCTAATTAGCTTTATTACTTGGCATGTCGCAAAACCAATCGTATTTAGCTGCCAATTGTGGTTAGTTCATTTATATTGTTTTTTCCTTTTTGTACGAAATTCGTATTAGAAATAATTGTTGGCAATTTTTCGGCAGCATGTGACGGGCAACGTGTGCCAACTGTCCTTTGCGTGTACAACTCAGTAGCTTTAATGACTTTCTCAAAATTTATTAAAAAGAAAAATGAAATTAGGAGCACAAAACTCGATTTTTAAAGTTAAAATAATTTTAGTTTTAATTTTTTTAATTATAAATCAACCCATTTTATATAAAGAAATTTTTTCTTTAATAAAAAATATTTTCAAATGAATATTTAAAAAAAAATA